ATCCTTTAGTAAGTTTGTTCCTGTCTATATGTGGAATTAAAAAAAACATGTTATTAGTGCATATAAGTCATATAAAGGGTTTTCATTGTGGCATTTCTATACATGCAAATAACACAAATTGATCATATCCATTACTTTTTTTATTTTCTTCAGTCCCCTCTCCTATCATTCCTTCTTAGGAACTTGTTACAAATTTTCAAGTAGATTCTTTAGGTTGTTTTTGTGTGTGTACATAATGTGCTTCACACTTATTCTCCTCATTCTCTCTTTCCCACTATAACTCAAGCTGCTCCCACCAGGAGTCCCCCTTCTATGTCTATGTCCCCTTGTGAGCATATGAAAGGGTATGTGGTATTTTTCCCTCTGAATGGGATTATCTAAACTGATGGTCTGTAATGCCATACATTTTCCTATAAACAATATAGTCTTGTACGTGTATGTGTGTGTGTGTGTGTGTGTGAGCAATGTACATATACTATATTTTTCTTCATCTTCTCATTGGTTAAGGGACCTATACTGATTTTGTAACTTGACTCTTGTGGATAGTGCTAGTATAAAATGCATTGTAGACGTCCCTGTTGTTTGCTGACTTAGAAGTTCAATACTGGTAAAGCAGGAGCACATGGTTCTCCTTCATATTTTACGAAGCTTCATAATGATCTCAGTAGCGTCAGGACTAATTAACATGTCGATCATCAACCTATAAGGGGTCCATTTCTTCCACATCCTCTTTGGCATTTTATTGTTTTCTTGATGAGAAGGATTCTGACTGTGATATGGTATTTTGATTTTCACTAGTACTTCTTAAAATGACAAAAATATAAGGGAAGTTAACATGGAAATGGAGACTTTTGTGTCAATGGAGATTTAAAAATCAGTCAGTTTGAAACAGAAAATGAGGTTAATATACTAAGCCTCATAGTATCTTTGAATCTGATCTGAGCAAAAAAATCCATAATTTTTGGCAAAGGAACTCTCCTGGTGCCTAAAGCAGTATGTTCAGTGTTTTAAAAACTTGATGTCAGTAAATAGGTGCTACAATTCTATTACAATTGGCGTAGTGTTGATTCATGTTTATCTTGAACACTGGCTAATTTGATCATGTTGTATACTTTTTCTTGACATCAGATCACAAGCAAGTCACTATTTTGGTAACAGCATCATTGAAATATAGTTGATATAGTATGAAACAATCATTTTATGTGCACAGTCTAAGTGGCTTTTTAAAATTCACACAGGTATGAAATAATCACCATGATTTTAGAATATTTTGTCATCCTAAAATGAAACACCATACTCTTCGCTTATCACCCATAGCTGCTGCCTCATTATCAGTTTTTTCTTTATTGCCATGTCTATGAGACTACTGGCAAATCCAATCATGAGAATTTATAGCTCTGTTTTTTTCTAAAAAGTTTTCATTTTACTTCTTCAATTTAGCTGTGGATGTTGAACTCAGATGGAATCCAGTAGTTCTTTTTTTAATATGTTTTTTATTGTAAAAATACTGTACATAGGAGTTACAGTTACATGAGTAAGGTAATGAGTACATTTCCTATCAAGCATTGTTACCTCCTCCTTTGTTTTTCCCCTACCAACCCTTCGCCCTACCTTCCCACCTCCTCCCTCCCTCTCTGCCACAAGTTGTAAAGTTTGTTTTCAACATAGTGCCTTGTACATATCATTGTCACAATGGGTCAACCTGTATCCCTGTTTAAGCATTTTGTTTTTTCCCTTCCCTATACCAAATTAGAAAAGTATATACAAGATTCAGGGCACTGGAATGAAATACAGTGAAAACAGGGGTTATACTGTGGGGGAGGAACATACCAAAGAAACAAAAAAAATCACATAGTACATTATAAGTACATTAAAACCAATAGCAATAAATAAAAAACCACTTGTGTTAAGCAAAATGAACCAGTAGTTCTTTGTTTCTAGGGTGGTGCTGAGATTTGATCTCAAGAATAATGCTGGTTAAGTCAGGTTCAACAATTAGAGCTGCACTCAAGAATTTTTTGCTTTAGTGATTTGTGACAAGTAATCTCAAGACTTTTCCCTATTTAGTCTAGACTCAATGGTTTCTATTTAGAACTCTTACTTAGGTGAGAATAAAGCAGTATGCCAGCACTCCCTGCTGTTCTGGTTGAGACAGGGGAATCTTACATTTTGTTTCACTTATCCTTGGACTCAATCCTCCTGACCTGTGCTTCTCCAGAAACTGGAGTTATAGGCGTGATCTACCACACTGGTGCAATGTTTCCTGTAATATATGGGCATCGGGTTGTCCCTGCACCAATTTTACTTACTGAAAAGAACATTTTGTTCAAATTAATTGTCTTTTCACATCTGCTGGAAAAAAAACAACATTCTTCTTACTTCTTGATCAGTGGACCATACTACATGAGTTTGGCTTTTCAGTTCACATAAAGTAATATTTATGTTTATCTCAATGCTGGTACTAATTCATATTGAGCTGTCAGAGGAGAGCTCTTTGCAGTCCTGTTGCACTTTTTGAGTTGTTTTATTATTAAGATAAATAACATAATATAAATAAAGTTAAATGATAAAACTAAATAATAAAAAGTCAGTGGAATAGATTGTTCTTGAAATCCCTTCTGAGGAAACGTTTTGCTTCTTTAACAGAAGCTGTGGCCAGATTAGGCCTTGTAGGCTAATGACAAAATAGGAAGTCTAGCTTATAACACATTCCTTTCCTTATGTCCATATATGCCTTTAGAGCCTCACCCCCTGTGTTCTTCACTCCCTTTACCTGCAAGGCTTGGACACAGGCTCTGCTGACTCACTCTACTCTTTACTGCCTTAAGTTTTATCAAGTTGATATAATTTCTAGAACCCTCCACAGACTTTTTTTTACCAACAAGTTAATAGAATATTATTTTGGAATGTCAGATTTATTCATTTAAAATTGAGCTATTTGTTATCGTTCCAGTGAAAATAGCAACTTCTCACAAACTGGTGTCTTGTTGTATATATAACAAGGGCAGAGAGCATTCACTGTAAAGACCCCACTTCTCAGAAACAACAGTTTCTTTTTTCATATGCTTCTACTTAAACATAGAATAGAGATTCAGGTCTGTTTCTTCATAGCTCTTTACAGAATTCATAGAACAAACATTTTCACTCACTCAAAGAAAAAATTTTCTGGAGGATAGCCACTGAAAACCAAGGTTCAGCTTCCAAATTTCATAGCTAATTCATATGCCTTGGAGAATCATTGAGATACAGCATAACATTGAGACAAACCTGAAGCCAGGAAATGGAGCATTTAACAGATACTGATTTTGTTTTTACCAGTAAAGAGAGTTAAACAAATTCATTATGTTCTCTTTATATTTTTTGTAGAAAGAAAATAAAGATCTAATATCAAATTAATTAGGAAATGATTTAGTCTTTCTCTTTTGGAATCAGATAATAAAAATTAGGTGAAATGTCTCATTTTATAGCAAAATGTAACATTTTTGGTTACATTTCAGTTATCATACTACAAATCCTGTCACTCCTTACACATATTCTTCTCTATTCTCTTATCTGAAGAAAAATTTTAGAACAGCACACTTAAGTATTAGTAAGACTTTTCAATTAAAGCAACTTTAGCAAATTATCTTTCTTACTACTTCTGTCTCCCTTGCTATATGCTATTTCTCATAAACATTATTTGTATTTAGTAAATCAGTGTTGCTATTTAAACTTACCCAAACTTTACTATCTTCAAGACCCTTGCCTTCTCCATGAACCTTTGCATTGAGAAATACTTAGTGAGGAAAGCTTGGAACTGAGTCCCTCCCTCCAGTTCACTTCAGTCTGCTCAAAGATTAGAGGCTGGAATCCACTGCAGGTTTTTCTCACACATGTCTCTTTATCTTCAGTGCTGCTAGCCCATGCTGGGATGTTAAGTTGGCAAGGCAACTTAAAAACCTACATTGGAACACTTACTCCCTCCTAGTATTCTGAGATTTCTTACAGCATGTAGACTGGGTTTCAAGAGCAAGAACTATGCTACAGATAGCTTTTCTCTTTCTTTCTCTTTTTTTTGTTGAAAGTCATGGGAAATCACTTTTTATCACAAAGCAGTTATTATAATGTATGTTAAAGGTTGGCTTATATTATATGTGTTAATAGAAGCACGTGTTAACTTCTTCCCACAAGGATTTTATTTACATCCCACTGGAAACAACCCTTGTCACTACTCAGTATTTATCAGCTTTCTCAGTTACTATGACAGCAGGTACAGGTGTAAGCACAAGATGCTACTATCACTATGAAATATAATCTCAAGTACAGTTTCTCCCCAAATGAAGAATAAAGAAGCAAGAGACAAGTTAATCCATCATTGGCACACACAACATTGTGTTAAACTTGTAGAAACAGTGACAATTCACAGAGAAAATGGAAGGCATCCATGGTGATACTGACCTTGTCATCAGCACAAGACTCAATCTCTGTGGATCTTTGACGTACTCTATTGGCTCTTTATTCCATCTTCTTTCCCTAAGAAATTACCTTTGTTTACAGCTGAATACTTTCTAGCCTTTTGCTTCCCTGTGGACCTTCCATGGTTTAATGTTAACTGTCATAGTTGTTTAGGAGTCAAGAAAGCTCTTATTTTAAAACCCCACCACAAAGTAATTAATCACCTTAAGTGGAAGGAAACCCTTTGAATTTTAAATGTGGAATTCTGGCTACTTGATATGATACAATATGCCTACAACTACAAACTCTCTATAATTTACAGTAATTTTGTAGATATGATAAGCCATGCTAATGAATACATAGAACCAGTGCATAAATCAAATTATTTTATATTTTATAACAAAATATATCCTAGGAACAAATCCTAGAAACTGAACTCATAGTGTCTTCTCAGACTTGGGAGCATGAGACACACTGTGACTGGTACCATTTAATAAGCTGAAAAAAGTCATTTTGTGATGTTCTTACTTTGATTGTAGTGCTTTCTTATTTTCAGGAGAAAAGACTTAAAAAGTAGCAAAATATTTGAGAAGGGAATTTTCATCATTCAGTTCTAAGTAGTATTCTTGTGCTATTTTCTCAGCCGTCCACGTTTCTGGATAAAGTTTATGATTATTGAGAAGTGTCAGTGCTTCTACAATGGAAATTTTACCTTTACGAATGCTGGTGACATTCATTTCTGAGTGATGGTCTTTCGGCATCCTGAACTCCTTTGGCACTGGCTTTGGTTGAACATTTTTTACCTTCAGGGAAGACACAGGATCTCTGGAATCAACGTATATATCTTTCAAAAATGAGAGCAGCTTGTTATCCTTATTAGTAACTTCTCGTTCAATTTCTGGATGATGGCTTGTCTGCTCCACAAGGAGCTTCTTGTTGGAAGGGTGTTTGGGAGCCGAGGAGGGCTTCCTCTTGCTGATGTCCCGTTCTGCCCGGTTCTCCAGGTTAAAATTCCTGAGGGCACGGAACACCGAAGCCCCCCATCTCTTCCGAGCATGGTGACCTCGCAGCTGTCATATTTTTTACTTTCCTATTTCTCTTTTAATCCAAATTAAGAAGTGTTTTCATTACATTTTTTGTAAAGGATATTTTTGCAAATAAGGGAAACCGTGGGACCTAAATTTCTTTGGGACTGAGTAACTTCACTTAATATGATTTTTTCCAAGTCTTTCCATTTTCTAACAAATGGGGAGGTAAAGTGTCATTCTTTCTGATGGAGCATAGAATCCTACAGTCTATATATACAACATTTTCTTGATCCATTCATCTACTGAGGGGCATCTGGGTTGATTCATATCTTAGCTATGGTGAATAAAGTTGCAATAAACATAGTTGTGCTGGTAGCTTTAGTATGGCCTTGTTTGTGATCACTTGGGTAAATGCCCAGAAATGGGATTGCTGGGTCATAGGGAAGCTCTATGTGGAGTCTTTTGAGGAGCCTTCATACTGCTTTCCAGAGTGGTTGAACAAGTTTACACTCCCACCAACTATGCAGTAGGGTTCCCTTTGGCCACATCCCTTCCAGCATCTGTTGTTATTAGAGTTCTTCATTCTAGCCATTCTAACTGGGGTGAGGTGGAATCTCAATGTTGTTTTGATTTGCATTTCTTTTATGGCCAGAGAAGTTGAGCATTTCTTCATGTGTCTACGGCCATTCTTATTTCCTCTTATCAGATGAGCTGAAAAGCTCAAAAACCATTTACAAATGACCATATAAGTTGATGCTAAAGGAAATGAACCCCAAGATATGGCCACAAGAGGTCTGTCTTTATTATTATTATTTTTTGTCAGTCATGGGGCTTGAACACTGGGCTTGGGCGCTATCCCTCAGCTCTTCAGCTCAAGGCAAGTGCTCTACCACTTGTGCCACAGCACCACTTTTGGTTTTCTAGTGGTTTTATTGGAGACAAGAGTCTCATGGCCTTCATGCCTGGGTTGGCTTTGAACGGTGAACCTCAGATCTCAGCCTCCTGAGTAGCTAGGATTACAAATGCCTGGCTTGTTATTGTTTTTTTTAATTTAATTTAATTTTATTTGTGAACATACTGTACAGAGGGGTTACAATTACATGGGCAGGATAATGCGTACATTTCTTACCAAGCATTGCATCCTCCTCCTTTA